TAATAATGAAGAGGACCAACCCTAATCTTGCCTAGGTGGCCTTTGGCAAAGTACCAGTTCCCCAGCTTACAGCATGGGGATGATCCTACATAGCTCAGTTGGTTAGAGTGTGGTCTCATAGAGCCAAGGTTGCAGGTCCGATCCCCGCATTGGACAGCTGCATATTCCTGCATTTCTGGGGGTTGGGCTAGATGATCCTCAAGGTCTCTTCCAACTCTACAGTTCTATGATTCTATGATCTATGATCCTACTTGCAGGATGCTGGAAGGCAGAGTCAGCCAGAAGATAGATCTACAATAGTACAGTGGTACCTCAGGTTACAGATGCTTCAGATTACATATGCTTCAGGTAACAGACTCCGCTAACCCAGAATTAGTACCTTGGGTTAAGAACTTTGCTTCAGGATGAGAACAGAAATCACGCAGTGGTGGCACGGTGGCAGCGGGAGGCCCCATTAGCTAAAGTGGTGCTTCAGGTTAAGAACAGTTTCAGGTTAAGAATGGACCTCCGAAACGAATTAAGTTCTTAACCCGAGGTACCACTGTATATGACTCATAAGTGTTTGCCAATGGCAACAGTGGCAACAAAACTCTTTCCTCCCCAAGTCCCAAATCAGGCTCCTGAAACAAAGGGTTTTCCCAGGCTGATGTTGCTTTCGGGGTGGGAGTCCTACACACACAGACAAAGTCAGGATGCACAATTATAATTGATTGGGAGGTCTTGCGAAACAGACCCGCTTCCCTAAAAGATCAGACTTTTTTTGGAGTAAGGAAATTGACAGGGAGATGCACTGGTAAGTCTGAGATAACTGTGCTCATTAAATAGCTTGAGCTGCCTACTCTTTCTGAAGACAGAATGGTACATATACAGGCCATGTGGAAGTGCCCCAAGAATGCTTGGGGGGCGGGGAGAGTGGATCTCAGTTCTGTAATCTCAGTCTTGATTCTGAAATCGGTGCTAGGAACTCAAGTAAGGAGATGTTGGGAATTACCTCCTTCACTTGAGCCGCCGTATCTGCCATCACCAACTGCCCTGCACCCACCCAGCCCTTGCGATGGTTGATGGACTTTAGGATTCTAGCAAAATATAGATCCCGCAAGCCTGAAGCCTGCGCACCCCATTCTGACAGCGACCATTTAGGCCTGGTCTGCATGCACAGGTGCGAAAGCAGAGACGGTGGAATGAATTGCATCGCTGCAGACTGTGGGTGGGGAATGTCATTTCTGAATGCTACATAAAACAAAAACAAAAAACTCACTGTAAAGAGAAAACATCAGCTTCTACTTCTGCCTTTTCCTGCTGCTAATTTTCTACTTGCAGGCTCCCTGCTGTTTTTGTACTATAGCCAATAATTTTCATCAGCCTGATTTCCCACTTGCAATCTGAGGTGGTACAGTCCATGCTGCCCCCTCCATTAATTCTAACCTTGGGCTCTCTGTTGCCCAGGGTGCTGCATGCCAATGGTTTTCAAGGAACAGTCTTTACCAAAGGTGTCATGGGCTTTGAAGACACTCGAACTCAGGACGCAAGGGAGAAACATGATAAGAGGAAGGCACGCTTGGCAAATCCATACTGCGATCAGCTCCCACCCAGAAACTAATGTCCCCACTGTGGAATGATGTGTGGATCCAGAATTGGCCTTGACAATTACTTGCGGACTCACTGTTAAGACCATGTTTATGGAAGACAATCTTACTCGGCTGCTAGGGATCACCAAAGAAAGGTTTTCAAAGAGTGCACCAGGGAACAGGAACAGTGAGAAACTCAGGAATGGTGGCAGAGCTTCCCTGAAAGGCAGCTTGCCCACCACTCCTGATTTTCTCTGTGCAACATGAAGCAATGGCTGCGTTGTAGGAAGTGTGCTGCTTTTGTGGTGGGGATGCTGAGGACCAAGAGGCACCCTCAAGCTTGCGGTGGGATCGTCTTCCTTCCTTTTTACAAGAACTCTCATGGTCTACCAGACAAGAGTCAGATACAAAATGCTGGCTCAGTGTCAGGTACCAGTATGAGCCACACAATGGGCTGGTCTCAGGGACGGATTTAGCTGCTGAAGGTAATGGGGCCCTTTATATGTCCAGCTGTCCTTTGTCAACAACAAATTGTCGCTGTTTTTGTGTGTTGAATATATGCTATATGGTATTTTATGGACCTAATAGGTATCCAAAGCCATTTGCACATAAGAAAATATGTATTTTATCTTACATTTTAGAAATGTACATCCAGTTGTTTTTCCCCTTTAAATTTTGTGGGGCCCTAAGCTATAGCTTGTTTAACTTATATGTAAATCTGGCACTGGCTAGTCTGTATCTACAAGAACAGATCAACATCTGAATTCTTAAATTATCAGGGTTGCTAAGCTCAAAGCAGCCAGCGGAGTTGAGCAAAGATCTTGCCAAAGACAACCAGGTAATGTTCCTATTTTGCAGGGGGCTGAAAAACAGGCAATTATTTGTCTATGTCCAATATTATTCAATTTTGTTAACATGTTTAGAATCAGAAAGGCTTGCCGATCTACTGCAGATCGCCCAGTGATCTACCCGATAGACGCCAAATCTGCTTTCTGCCAGCTTATGCCTTGGAACATGCTCAAGAATGAACTGCAACATTCAGGAATCTCTTGAAAGATAAAGGTGTCTGGCCCAGAAATCCTGAAAAGGACAACCATGTGATAGGAAGCAATTCAAACTCTCCAAGCTCATATGCATACAATCTACAGAGGCCACTTGTCAGAACTGCCTCTCTCCCACCTCCTTTTGCTCCTTCTCTTCCTCTTCCTTGCAGTTGCTGTTCCTTTGGAAGCATCTGGAGTGGCAAGATAGCCTTGCTTGTTTTCTGCCAGGTTGCCGAAGTGCCAAAGGAAGAGGTTAATTTGTGCCATGTCTCAGGTCCCCCACGCCTGTGCTCAGTGCCAACACTCAACTCCAGAATGCACCAAGTACCCCTGAGCAGACCCAGAGGGAATTTCCCCTTGAAAAGGAACAAATGCAGAGTCATAGATTGTCAGAGCTGGAAGGGACCCTGGCAGCCTAGCCCTTTTGCTCAATGCAGGATCTTGCAGTAACAGCAGCCCTGGCAGATGACCCAGTCTAGCCTCTGCTGAAATGCTTCCAGCCAAGGAGAGAATGATGCCCCTGGAGGCTGGCTGCTCCCACTGCCCAGGATCTCTTAGCAGCAGGAAGCCTCTCCTAACCTTTAGCCAAAATCTTCAATTTCCATTCTTTGGCCCTCTGAAGCGACAGATAACACGCTTGGCCTGTCCTGCGTGACAACCCTATCACACAGATATTTAAAGATCACTGTCGTGATAGACACACCACACATTTGAAGCACATGGCTTCCCACAAATCATCCTGAGAACGGCTCTTTGTGAGGGTGCTGTGAGTGGTAAACTACAGTTCCCGTGGTCTTTGTGGACGAAATCAGGCCTCACCTGATTCTTCTCTTCTCTGGGCTTGAACACAGTCAGCTCTTTCAACCGCTCCTTATAGGACTGGTGCACATCAAAAATTAGGGTTCCAAATGATGCTCTGGTGTTTTCACACTAGCCCACTTAACAAATTAATTTTTAAGATTGTTAATATTTTTATTTGTGTTGCAATTTTAAATTGTTGTAAGCCACTCCATGTGGGGCAGGGGCACAAGAAGAGTGGAACAGAAATGTTATGTATAAATGAATGAATGAATTTTAAAAAACCTCTTACAGATGAATTGAGTCATGCATGTACAAGTCCCATTGAGTCTGACTCATGAAGACTATTTCAGTTTAGGAGAGACTTGCTGTCGCACCGATGATGGTGATGGTAGACAGATGAATTGTCATCGATCTGCCTCTTTTATGAAGGATAACAGGGCAGATCCCTGCCCCAAAGACCTTACAATCAGGGGAGACAAGGGAGGAAAGGAAGGAAAATGGGAGGAGGATGTAAACCATCCAGAGATTTTGTTACACTAAGTGATCATTTTGAAAAATAGATAAACAATAAGCTCTTGCGCCAGCTTTCATAATGGAGGGAACCCTACTTTCAGTTAGATATAGATATGCTTAGTTACATCAGAGAATGGGGACTTGGGGTGCAAGGCTAATCACGCCTATTCAGAAGGAAATCCTATTAAATTCAGTGGGGCTTATTCCCAGGAAAATGGAGTTAGGATTCCTGCCTAAAGCCAGGGGAAACTCTGGGATACCAGCACCTCCTCTTCTGTAGTAAGGGAGAAGATCTTTCCCACTATGCCCACTTGAAATGTGAAGGCCAAGTTCTCCAGCTGATGGAGGCAATTTCAGTGACTTCCAGGTGATTTCTGGGTTTGGGGAGGGGAAGAGGAAATCTGCTGTCGGTTGTAGTCAAAGTTCAAATTGGGAGTAATAACTAGGACTGTGGGCGTTTCTCCACCACTTTGATCTGCAGAACCGGCCCTCTTACTGGCACCACATAATATTCCTTCCACATTGGTAATAAATCAATCTTTAATGTAGCAACGGCCCTTTGGAACTCCCTGCCTATTGACTGTATCATTTTTGGCACCTGCTAAAAACACCTGCTTTTTGTTTAGACGAGCCTGTCCAGCCAGGTAGCATACTGACATGTGCTTTTTATCAGTGACTTAGAATTTTTAATAGTTGTTTTTAACTGCTTCTGCCCATAATTTTATTGCTTTCTTCTTTTTGTAAACCACTTTGAGGTTTTTTTCTTTTTAAATAATCAAGCGATGTATAAATTTTATGAGATAAATGAAATAGACCAATAACTCTCCGCCACTGCCTCCTTCCTGAACGGCACTGCTGGGCTTACTCCGGAGTAGGCAAGCCACGGTGCCCAGGACTGAGCAAGCGAGAGTGGCCAAAGATTATTTTGCCTATCCTTAACCACGTGTGCCAGGAAGAGAGTCGATGATCGGTCACATAAAGATAGCATTGGAACCGCGTTTCCCAGCCAGTTTTTACTTCGGTATTGAAAGAGAAACAAAACCTGAAGCAGAATCGGAAGCGAAGCGGATCTTACCAGCTCTGGTGTCTTTTGTCAATTTTCTTCGCGAGCCGGGCTGCCTGCCCAGAGGGTGATCCTGGAGCGCATCCTTGGCGCTTGTTGCTGTTCGGATCCGACGCAAGGCTGTTGCTGGCAGAGGAGCGGAGTCAGCCGCGCTGGGGACGCCCGGCGGAGGGGCGCGGATGAGGCATCGCGGAGAGAGGCCGGGAGGCGGGGTAAGAGGGAAGGAGGGTGTGGGGGGGGGGGAAGAGGCAGGAAGCCGAGTTGCAGAAAAACTTTAAAAGAGAAGTGCGCGCACAGGCGCGCGCAATCACCTTGACACATTGAGAAGAGCGCTACAGTCCGCGACAGCGCGCTTGGTAAGCGGGAAGCGTTGCAACCAGGGCGCGCAAAGCAGAGCAAAAGCGCTTGGGGTGTGTGTGTCGGATTTTCCAAGGGGCCACCCTGGGATACCGCCCCCCCCCAATCTTTCTCAGCCTCCTCTATAGCTGACAGGGAGAGGCTGGCTGCTTCTGTGAACCTCATTTATTTTATAAAATTTATACACCGCTTGACTGCAAAAAAGAGAAAACCTAAAAGCGGTTTACAAAAGATAAAACGGTGAAATCAATTTTTTTAAAAAATCAACACTACTTTAAAACATGCGGAAGTTAAAATACTAAAACAGATTAAAATCACCTAGACTTTCTAAGCATTTTGTCTTGATAGGAATGTGTTTCGAAGGAGCTGAAAAGAGTACAGGGAAGAAGGTGCCTTCTTGATCTCCAAAGGCTCCGAGGGTCATTTTGCTGCGCTCTAAAACATTTGCTAACTCCAGTGCTTTTCTTCTAGGAAAAACGGTGCAGGTTCTGCGTACCTGTGAGTACCCCCAGGAAAAAAGCAGCGGCTAACCCTCTTAGTTTTGTGATCACATCTATGCTTGAATGGCAGTTGCAATCTAGTCTGTATTTGTCATGCTCACCTTTCCAGCTGCTGGAGGATAATTTTGCTGTCCTCTGAAACAGGCATCCCCAAACTCGGCCCTCCAGATGTTTTGGGACTACAATTCCCATCATCCCTGACCACTGGTCCTGTTAGCTAGGGATGATGGGAGTTGTAGTCCCAAAACATCTGGAGGGCTGAGTTTGCGGATGTCTGCTCTGAAACATCCACAGGCTCTTGTGGTTTTGTGACTCTCCTTCTGTTACATAGCCAACTGCCTCTGTTTTTATGGCAGCTCCAATCTCCCTGCTGTGTTTTTCCTTGCAAGAATGCCATGTGGCCTAAGACTGGGTGTGCGTACTACATTTCCCACCTGCCAAGGCCAAGACAGGCCCCTCTCTGCCGGCACAGCAACAGGGGAGAAGTGGTTTCAAGAGCCAGATTGGCTGTGGTTCCTGAGCCCTTTGAGGCAACCTTTCACAGGGGGCCATGAGAAAAGGCCTGCTGCTCTGGGCACCACAGTTCAAGGAGGACACTGACAAACTGGAACGTGTCCAGAGGAGGGCAACCAAAATGGTCAAAGGCCTGGAAACGATGCCTTCTGAGGAACGGCCAAGGGAGCTGGGCATGTTTAGCCTGGAGAAGAGGAGGTTAAGGGGTGATATGATAGCCATGTTCAAATATATAAAAGGATGTCACATAGAGGAGGGAGAAAGGTTGTTTTCTGCTGCTCCAGAGAAGCAGACACGGAGCAATGGATCCAAACTACAAGAAAGAAGATTCCACCTAAACATTAGGAAGAACTTCCTGACAGTAAGAGCTGTTCGACAGTGGAATTTGCTGCCAAGGGGTGTGGTGGAGTCTCCTTCTTTGGAGGTCTTTAAGCAGAGGCTTGACAACCATATGTCAGGAGTGCTCTGATGGTGTTTCCTGCTTGGCAGGGGGTTGGACTCGATGGCTCTGCCTTTCTAGTGGCCCTGGAAGTTCTTTTGTGTGGACAGTCCCCCAAACCCTGGGCTGCCCCCTGTATGGAACAACGACTCAAGACAACGTGCTATGGGATTAAAATTGGCCACAACTTTATTATATTTCAGATGTGGGTAGACCTTGGCTCAGGCATTGGGCGTTTATCCCTCCCAGTCCCCCGCCAGGGATCTGGGGGAGCATCAGGGTTATCCAGTGTGGGGAGGGGATGGGCTGGCTCTGGAGAACATATGTTCAAGGAGAGAGAGCCCACCCCTGTTACGTTGCAGGGGAGAGCAATGACGACCTCTAGGTGTGCCACCAAAGTCTCCCCTCAAACAGCCCCTTTAACAGGGAACCCTGGTATTGCTGCCGCCAAGAGGAGCGGGGCATGGGTCACCGCTGCACGCCCCCCCCCCCATTCAGGGAAGATAGACTAAAGGATTCTGCCCAAGGCCTGATACCGCCAAAGTTGTGACGTTTTGCTACGGGAAAGGCAAACCTGCCAGGTGAATTCCTTTCTGGCCCTTCATCAGCGACCTTGGCGTAGCAGCGCCCGCATACCTGTGGAGAAAAGAAGTCTGCAAAAGAAGTCTTAACTGAGGGTGGGTAGGGTGGGAGAAGCTCTGGAGCCAACTGCCGATTCCCAGGTAAGATCCTCCCTCTATTGTGTGGGCAGGTGGTCCCTCCCCTACCTGGCCTGATCACCTTGGCAACGCCTCCCCAGGTGGGATTGGGCAACTGACTGAGGTAGGCGGAGACCTCCAGGTATCCCACCTGGGGGGAGGCAAAGCCAAGCCTGTGCTAATGGTGCCGCATAGGGTCCCGGGGGCTGTGCACGACCACGCAAAGGGCGCCCCCATTTAATGTGGGGAGTGGTCATTAAGAACATAAGAAGAGCCTGCTGGATCAGATCTGTGTCCAGCATCACAGTGGCCAACCAGTTGCCTGCACAAGAAGACACGGGTGCAGGACTACTCTCCCTGCCTGTAGGTTCCAGTATCTGGCATTCAGAAGCATTACTGCCCCCAACAGTTGTTTTTTAAATAAATCTTTTTATTTGATTTTTCAAAAGGAATAAAAAGAGAACAAAAAAATAGAAAGAGACAACAAACGAAGAAACATACAACTAAAATACAGTCCAAAATTCAAATAACGAGATTACTTTAAATCTCTTGACTTCCCCCCATCACCTCCATGGGTCCTTCTGATTCTATTTTCAACTGCATATCAAACTTCTCCAATTTTTCATCGTCCTAAGGTATCTATACAGTGGTACCTCGGGTTACAGATGCTTCAGGTTACAGACTCCGTTAACCCAGAAATAGTATCTTGGGTTAAGAACTTTGCTTCAGGATGAGAACAGAAATCATGCAGTGGTGGGAGGCCCCATTAGCTAAAGTGGTACCTCAGGTTAAGAACGGACCTCCAGAACGAATTAAGTTCTTAACCCGAGGTACCACTGTATAATCAATTACATTACAAGTGTATTTAAAATCCTGCTGCTGTTTTAACATGTTTACAATGATTTTGTATGTACATTATAAACATTCCCCCCCCTTTAAAATTTCTTGTCTTCTTGATTCCTTAGCTTCCCTGTTATTTTTTCCATTTCAGCATAGCCCATTAATTTGGTTTGCTATTCTCTGGTCAGGGCTGTCTCGCCCTTCCATTTCTGGGCTAGTAACATCCGGGTGGCCATTGTAGCATACATAAACAATTTCCTCTGATCTTTTGGAATTTTGGTACCCATAATTCCTCATAGAAAAGCTTCTGGTTTTTTTTTAATAAAGGTTATTTTAAATATTTTTTCCCCATTTCATTATATATCATTTCCCAGATTTTTTTAGTTACATTACAGTTCCACCACATATGATAAAAGGTACCACTGCCCCCAACAGTTGAGGCAGAGTCGAGCCATTGGTACCCCTCTCCTCCATGAATTTGTCTAATCTTTTAAAGACATTTAGGTGGGTTCTTGCCTCCTGTGGGAGCAAGTTGCATTGTTTAACCATGTGCTTCATGAAGAAGCCCTTTCTTTGATCTGCCGTGAACCTTCCACTCTCCTCATGCCGTGCACAATCTTATAAACCTTCTAGCATGTCTCCTTTAACCCGTCTTTCCTCTAAACCAAGAAGTCCCAAACGTGGCAACCTTTCCTCATAAGTGAGCGGCTCCTTTCCCTTGATCAGTTGGGTTGCCCTTGGCTGAACTCTTTCCAGCTCCACAATATCCTTTTGCAAGTTTGCGCGTTGGAGAGGGGCCCTCAAGGCAGTCCAATAATCAGTCCAAAAGGGATTCCAACTGTACTGAAAAGACATTGTTGAATATTTATAGGGTAGTAGAAAAAAGAAAGAAAGGAGAACACCAGGAAGAACTTTCTGACAGTTCAGCAGTGGAACAGTCTCCCATGAGAGGCGGTGGAGTCTCCTTCCTTGGAGGGTTTTAAGTAGAGCTTGGATGTCATGGACTTTCTGTGTTGCAGGGGGTTGTTTGTTTATTACATTTATATACCACCTTTCTCTTCCAAGGATCTCAAGGTGGTGTACACATTTCATTCCATCCTCACGACAACCCTGTGAGGTAGGTTAGGCTAAGAGACGATGACTGGCCCAAGGTCACCCAGTGAGCTTCATGGCTGAGTGGAGATTCAGACCCTGCTCTCTCAGGTCCCAGTCTAACACTCTGACCATTATGCCACACTGGCTATGAGCCCAAAATACCTTGCTTCAAATCTCCTGGCTGCAAAGCCCATGGGCAAGTCACAATCTCTCAGCCTATCCTACTTTCGAAGTAGGCCGAGGCACCAGCTATTGAAATAGACTTAGTCATGGTTGAGAAGATGTCCCCATAGATGTGTTCTTAAGTCATAAGAAAGCTTTGCAATAGCCATTTCAAAAAACTAGAACTGTATAATACAAGGTGAACCAGCCATCAAACACGGGAGCTTAAAACATCAGCCTTGATGTTAGCACTCACTCGGGTCTGGTGATTTCTGTTTCAGTGTATCTGGAGAAGTGTGCATGCATACGAAAGCTCATACCAATAACAAACTTAGCTGGTCTCTAAGGTGCTACTGGAAGGAATTTTTTTACTTTGTTTCAAGCCCTCAGGTTACCTTCTGACTCTGCAGTTCTATGATTGCATGATTCACTCTGAACCTCAACCTTCTCCCCCTCTCAGCCAGCAGGAATGGTTTCCTGCTGACAGACATTACCTTAATTTAAATAAGAAATGCAATATATCCCATCCTAGTGGGAAAGACAGTGACCAGGTGAGCTGTGTGTTTGCTCAATCTTTTTGACTGCTGATGGGCA